CGTATTGTCTATTTTCCTTAATATGCCTTTAGCATATACTAAGCGATTATTAATGGTAAATAAACAAAGGGTAGGTAGAGAGCTTTTAAAAGATCTCAACATACCCCTAGAACTTCAGGCAAAAATGTATTTGCACACAAAAGCACTTGCTCGCCTTTTCAAGGAAATTGTGAAACCAAGGCTCGATTGGTAATTTTTTTTTTTATTCTGTGTAACTATTTGAAGGCCATAGATTATATTATACTCAGGGCCGTTTTCTAATGTAAGCAGTAAAGTTGCCTTTACTAACAGGGCAGATAAATTGTTCCTCAATTTAAAGTGTTTTCGTTTTCCTACCTTGCCGGTAAAAATAAATTCGTTATTCCGTAGAGTGAAACTTCACTACACTTCCGAGAGTGAAACTTCACTACATACGTCATAAAATTTCAAAGGTTGGCAATGCAACATAAGCAAATATAGAGCAGGAGCAACTGTTAGCAAAAACCAAAACATTGGTTGAAATATCTAATATATCTGGCTCATGAACCAAAACCGAACCAAAATTTAAAGTTGGGTACAAATTTTAAAGGTTGCATCGGGTGAGCAACAGTTTATCGATTCGAGAAATTAATGCTCTGATGAGAAAACGAAAACTCGTATATCGAGACGATAAAGTGGCCGGTAAACTAAAGGTTTGATGAGAAAACGGCCCTTAGTATATTTTATGATATACCGACTTACATATAAACTACTTGTATTTTAAAATGCATACATATGTGTCTGACGGAAGAAACTTAAGCGGTTAAAAAAAATTTTAAATCTCCAGAAGAAATATCCGTATACAAAGTAAAACGAATTTCCACCGGATTCAGATCCAAAGATAGTCTAAATTTATAGTTTATTGAGGTATTTACTGTAATTAACCCTATAATGCCTTTAATTTTAATATTGCTGTTAAATTTTTTTTTTAAGTGTCTGTATTTTTTAGGGTCGCAGACTTATGCAATAGGTTTCTATAGAGAAATTGTGGACAATATGGCCGTCTACAATGTGCCATAAGCCGCATTTCGGATCCGTGGTTAGTGCGCTTTAAAATTCTAAAAAATGGGTTTTTCTCCATATAAAAAAAAATAATAATTTTTTTCTTAAAAAGTAGGCCATATTTTACAAAATTGCTAATGTTCCGTATGAGTTGGAATTCATACGAAGTGTGAATGAACTCAATGAGGGTAAGTTGCAACCCTGCTTGGGAAAGAGAGTGTGTTTAGTTGTGCGAGTGAACGTAAAAAGGAGCGCTGAGCGTGCTTGGTGATGTTTGTGATATTAATAAATAATAAAGGTTAGTTTTTCAGCTGTGGCTTTTCCAACTAAAGCAAATGTGTTTTTATTGATTTGGCTGGGCTACGAAACATTGGTCCTTTGAGCCGGATGTGGGCTCGGTTGTGCTTTTGATTTCTTGGGCGATTTCGTGGCATCGTGATTGATGCCTATGAGTGAGGGGGCTAGAAATATGCGTGCATATGTATGTGCGTGTGTATAGAATGTGCAAGTATACAGTCCATAAATTGCTAGAGCTAGTAATGGCTGTGAGCTAGTGAGTTGATGAGCAACAGAGGTTTATGAATAGTTGTAGATGAGTCTACAGACGAAATCCTGGCAAGTTGTGAAATTGGTTGCTGGTAGCAAACATGAGAATGGTTGAGCGAATGGAGCAAGGGCAATGGGAATACACATGTGTATTGTATGCTATTTCTTGTGCTAGAGAGCAAGTGAATGAGCATGTGTATTGCAAAACGATTCCTTGTGCTTGAGAGCATGTGTTTGAGCGCATATACATATATGTGTTCAAACTACTTTTGGATGTAGAGTGCGAGGGCGATAGAACTATGTTACAAAGTCCTTTCATTTGCCATAGAGCAATTGAAAAGTTGCTAGAACCATAGTGTATACCAGAGAGCAGGAAAGTATGAGAGTATGGTGCAAGTACCAAGCACTGGTGGCTTGTGTATGTGAGAAGTGAAACTCATGTATACACGGGCAAGTCGAAGCTGCGCAGTATAGATGCGCAGAAGGCAAGTAGCTCGTCGGTGTGAGTATAAAATCTCATATATGTATGTAAGCGAGCTGAAGCGGAGCAAATCGGTGCGCAGAGTGCTAGTAGTGTGAACAGGTAGACTCATGGGCATACACATATATGTATATAAATGCCATATGTACAAATTAACGAGCTAGAGCGGTGCACTATAGAGTATAATATTCTAGAACTTTACACTGGTGTGTGTATGTAGCGGAATTCGATGCGAGGGTAGAAAAATACAAATAGCGTCATTGCTAAAGAGGTACTTGCGCAGTGAACATTAAAATTCGAAAGCAAAAGACTTAATAAAGCGACTTGATTATAAAATATAAAAAACTGACAATGGTAAAAGTGGAGCTACTTGTTGCGTGCGTGCGAGCAATTAAAAGGGCAGCGGCATATGTCCAGGATGAGGCATTTGCCTCTATAACTCATCAGGGTGCTAGTGCTAGGTTGGAGGCCTTGGAAGGGCGTGGTGAGCAGTGTTGCCGAGAGCAGCGATATCAATGTCTAGAGCAAGAGCTAGAAAAGGCCGAGAATGGATATTTCGAGGCACGTGCGGCACTGCAGTGCAAAATAGATTTGACTGGCACCATCACCGGCACCAGTAAGTGCGCCAGCAAATATGCAGGTGGAGCTACAGTATCCACAGCGGCAAATGGACTTAAAGAATAACTGGGGCGAATTCGATGGCTTCGCTGACCAAGTGGAAGGGCTTCCATGATCGCTTCAAAGCCGCTGTGCATGATAATGAGCAGGTTGCGCCAGCATTTAAGTTTGCATATTTGCAAAAGTCGTGGTGGGCAAGGCTGCACGTACTT